TAATACACAAGAAATGCCTATTAAGTTCTTAGGAGTAACACCGCTAACACTTGAATTACCTATTATTCGCATTCTCAACCCAACCGTGCCTCAGAGAACGAGTTAATCCGTCAGACCCGATTACTATCACAAACATATTATGTTATACTTGAATATCCGACTAATTATCCCGGTAATATTTTAAGTGTGAAACCATGTGATTTAATGAGTGTATAATTGATGTTTATCACTTTTTTACAATGTAACGGTTCAATGGGTTTACATAAGTGAAATTCGGTATGAAGATAATTTATATTCTGGCTTAAAATAGCTACCGCGAGAGTGATGCCGCACACAGAAACATTTTTTTATATAAATTCTAAATGAATTTTAAACTTTTCTGAAATATATGAAAGATTTTTAGATTAGAAATTCATTATCGACATTATGGAACAAAGAGTGATGTAATGCCAATAACTAAATGTCCCCATGGAATGAAATCTTTCCAAAATTGGTCCTTTCTTAAAGCGATTTTTAATAATGTATTCAGCCCTTTTTAACTGCTGGGCAGGGGCCTCCCTTCAATAGGAGGAGAATCAGGCCATAGTCCACTACGCTGGCCAAGTGCGGGTTGGCGGACTTCACATATCTTTCGAAAACTTGTTAGGTATTCTCAGACATGCAGGTTTCCTCAAGATGTTTTCCTTCACCTTAAGACAAGTGGTAATCATATTGGAAATGATTTGCACATGAAAATATCAGCGGTGCGGGACCCGGGATCACTCGGTTTTCCAAGCGAGCACGTTACCACTGCCTCTATCTATAATATAAAAATTAATCGCTGAATGTGTTGGTAAGGGCAAATCTCGAGAGCAGCTAAACCGATTTCGCTAATTCTTTTTTTAGAATATTCCTTGAAGTACGAGGATGGTTCTTAAGGAGAGAAAAATTTAAAAAATTGCCTGAAAAAGTCTATAAACAACACTTTTTTATACTCCCATACAAAAGATTCGTAATAATACTTAAAAGTCAATTTGAACTTTAATACCATAACATAAAGTTTAATTGTTAGTGGAGAGGTTGCGGGAAGGCAAAACATTGATGGCAATTGTGTGACGTTAGAATCGTATCAATATTTATGTCAATATTTGTCAATATTATTAACAAAAAAAAATTATATGGCTAATGCTGGCTAATAACTATTTATATCTATTTAAAACGTACCTCGCGACGAACCCGAGCGAAGCGAGGGTGAGCCGCTAGTTTTTAATAATAACTAGATGATATGTTACAATCTAATAAAATGGCTAGTTGCAAAATTTATGACTGTCTTATTATTATAAAGTAAATAGAATAATATTTATTAAAATCTTATTTTTTATAGTTATAATGTTTTTATACGTTTTTTTTTTCATGACAAAATAATTTGAGCGCTAACAAATAAAAATATAGCAAACGAAAAGGGCCGAAAGGAAATAACAAGTACAATAAGTTTCTATTTGCAATTAGATTGATCCAATTTAGGAGAAGTGCTTTCTACGATTTATCTGTATCGTCCATCAATCAGGGATAAGAGATACACAGATATTTCTTTTCAAATACCTTAAAAAATATTTGGTTAATTTGAGTAGAAATGTTCTTAGTGATATTCGGTGAATCCATATCCATACTATATTATAAATGTGAAAGTGTGTTTGTTTGTTTGTCCTTCCTTCACGTCGAAGCAGAGAGACGGATTGGCGTGTTTTTTGTGTGGAGATAGTTTGAAGGATGGAGACTGACATAGACTTTACCTATACCGCGGGAGATTATCTCATTCCCATGGGAAAATACAACAACCCTTTTTTTTTTAACGTTGGGAAATGCTTTTACGCACAACGTGTGGGACTCACCGGCGTAATACAGCCAGTACTACCCACTAAAACCCAACAAAACCTTCCCCCGTCTTAATGGGGCGTCGCAGGATCGCTTACGCATTCAACTACGACGCCCCGACGGCAGGTCTGCCAAAGCAGACCACCACAACCATGGGGTTGCTCCACAGTCCACTCTGCTATCAGAGAAGTACCAGGAGCAACCCGCATGGTACACCGCCCCCCGAAGAGGGCCACCTCCCACCGCCCACCGAAGCGGGCAATCTCCCTGTGCGTTTCTTAGCTTCGCGCCCGGTTGGATTGCCGGGCACTACTGAGCCCCCCACCACGACAAGGTGAACGCACGTTGGGGGGCAAAATACAACAACCCTATCTAGAGATGAACCCGAGTGAAGCGAGAGTGAGTCGGCTCGTAACATTATAATTGTAACGTCATTTTAATTTTGACTTAAAGTAAGTATTATTGTTTTTATATTTATTATTTCTATTATGCCTCGTCGTAAATTATAAATATAATAAGTTTATTTTTTATCATTTAAGTTATGTATATGATAATATAGCATTATTCAATATAGCTTGATTCCCCATTCAAACTTTCATCCCCATTTTCAACCCCTTAAGGGATGATTTCCGGGATAAAAAGTCTCTAATCTAAATCATTCAGTAGATCCAGAGATTACCCCTATAAAGTCACAAACTTACAAACTTTACCTCTTTATAACTTAATATAGATATGTATAAGTTCGTAAATTAATAAGATGTTTTTGAAGAAATGTTCCTTACATGTACAGTAACAGTGCCAGTATGACAATCAAAGTTCTATTTTACGTTCAAATTACTTTCATAAAACAAAATAACACGACAGTAGAAGCATACCAGTACAAAGTATTTTATACGTTTTATACGTTAACATTGAAGTATCTCAGAAAATAATGAATGTCCTATACAGCGAAAGAAGCTATTAACTAGCTAGTGGGAATTTAGAAATTTAGAAAAGGCTAATAAGATTTTATTACACTAAAGTGTTATGTAGCGAGAGTAAAATTACGCAATGAAATGAAAGTAACGTGTGTAACAATACATATAATTATAGTATATTATACGAGGTCTATTTATTCTACATTTCATATAAGTATGAGATAAAAGTAATTTTTACATGACGTTCACCTATTAGAAAAGATGAATCGACTTTTAAATTTTCATAAAGAAAACATGGATAGTATTGTAATGAGTTGAGGTAAAACCTATCCTCCGGGTATACGATGACATAACTCTAAAAATAACTTAAAGTAGGTATTATTATTTTTATATTTATTATTTGTATTATGCCTCATAGTAAATTATAAATATAAAAAAACGTATGTGTGTACTTATGTACGTACGTCTGGGTATATAATAACATAACCCTAAGAATAACTTTTATTCATATTTTCGTTCGTCATAAATAATAGTCAAACTGTTAGGTAAATTATAGAAACTCTTATCTAATATTGAAATAATTCTAGCATGCAGTAACAAATAAGTTATGCATATATTGTTTTTAATAGGTAATTGATAGATTTTACAGTTTTTTCATATGTTAAACTATGTTTAGTAAAATAATTAATTATGATTTTAAACAGAACGATTCAGTAACCAAAACATTGTAACTTTTTTCGTACTATATATTGGTATTGTTAAGAGTACTTTGATGCTCTTACTTAATAACGAGGCTGGTGCCCCTCAGGGACATTTATTGAACAGTATAGGAAGTAGAGAGGAACAAATAAACGAAGCAATTTCACCCTTATATTTCGTAGAAAGGCTCGTAGACAACATTCAATTACAATATATTGCCAAGATCATCGACTGTGACTTTATCTGTACATATATTTACAGCGGACTCGTAATAAGCTTTCTTCTATAATACGTAGAAATCATAATAATTATTCAGAAATAATCAATGTAAACCGCCTAAACTTATATTATAAAGAGAAAAGATTTGATTTTTGGTGTTTGTCTGTAATAAATGAATTATAAAAACTATTTGTATTTAACCATTTTTACCCTATAGAAAGCTACATAATCAGCCACAAAAAATCAGCGAGGCTATACCTACGTGTAACTATTATTTTAACAATAACAACTTTTTGTTCAAATTAGTCAACCAAAACACGGGTAGAATCAAAAGATGACGACATTCGTATCATAATATTAATCCTTGTCCAACTAAATAGTTTCATAATCAAGGTTGATTACGTAAATTCCTCTTTAAATTGTTCGAATCGGACCTTTCGTTTACATTTATTACGTAAAACGTAAAACCTAGGGACGCACCCCGAGCGAAACGAGGACGAGTCTCTAGTATGAAATAAGTAAGGAGATAATACTTATTCCACTATAGTGTTTTAAAGTTATAATAGAACAAAAAAGTATTTTTCTATACATAACATGTATAATGGAAATTAATAAAAACTATTCCATATACGTATAAGTTCTTTCTTTATTGGCTATAATATTTTTAATTTAATATGCAATCTATTCCCTATAAACCTTTTTTTTAAATACACATAGTTATATACACATAGGTACATACATATATTAATATTTTATTAATTTCGTTCCTAGGGCTGTTTGCTATGTAATGAACAGTTTTGAGTTTGATGGTAAATATTTTTTTGAATTTTTTATTTGGGTGATAATGTAGTAAGAAATAAAATAATTGAAGACATAATTTCCGTTCTAAACACTGTAGGCTGCATATAAAGAAGCTCTCATATAAAACTGAAATCCCACATACATGGGCGAAACCACTTGCAATGCCTAGTGTTTAATATTTACTACAATTATTCTGGAGTCTGGAAAATGCAGCATATATATTAAAATGATCTGAGCTTAGAAAATAATAACTAATATAAAAAATATTAATTATTCATTCAGTTACACATTAAAAAAAATATAGCTAAATGCGATTAAAATAAGCTAATTATTCTTATTACATTAAAAATCAAATGGAACTCTATCTCCTCGTTTTAGGTAGTTCTTTAAAATACTAAAAAAAGCAACATGCAAAAATATGCAATAATATAATATATAAAAATACATAACAAAAAATAAGGAATTCCATGATATAAATACAAATGATTTAAAGGTATAATAATTACGTACCAGGATCGACGTACTTGAGCACAAACTGGACATCAGGTCCGAGGGCTGAAGCGAGCTCTAAAGGCAATTCGTTATCTCGGAGAACGTGCACTGAAATAGAAACAAATGCTTTTATGAAAAGGACAACACAATATATCTACGATAAAACTTTCATTTGGGATCCGAATGAAAAGTAGGAAATGCGTTCTACATCTACGATATTGCTATTGAATTACCTCCTGTTTTATCAAATCTTAACGGTGTTTTAAGTTTTTGTTATATTTTACTCAGTGTACATACTCTTTGGTACATACTTACTACTTTTAAATATGCATATATTATTTTATCCCTTAACACTGTCTTAATTTTTATAAATAAAATTTAAGCACTTGTTACATACAAATATTTATCGTCATTTATGTAAAATCAAGCTATATATTTTTATTACTTTAAAAGTACTTCCGGGATATATTACACAAATTAAATATAAATCGCCTATATAATTTAAAAAGAAAATCGCCTAGACAAAAGCTATTGAGGGTTCGCTCAAATCGTTTCATCAAAATATCAAAGAAGAAGATTACATTTAATTTACGGAGGATGTCTTCAAAAATCTTATTTCCATCAAAAGAAATGTACGCTGATGAGGAGCTTTACTTATTATTGTATACATACTTAAATAATAAGATTGTGTGGTTGTCTGTGTATTTAAAATAGGTTTTTATTATTAAAACAATATTTATACTGTGAATAATATCAGAATATCTAAACTATAAGTGATTAAATAATATTAATTAAATTTTAAATATAAACATTTTTTTTAAATCACGAGCTCTTTTTCTATTGTCTTACATTTAGAAGGCATAAAACAAATTAAATAGTATTGACTGCAACAAATGTATCTTTTTTCTACAAAACAAATCTATCAAATCTGTTGTTAATTTTTGGTTATTAAATCAAAAACTTCCAAAATAAGTAATTTTAGATGTTGATAGCTTGAGCAAAAAACTAGACAATATTTTAATGAAAGAAATGTCAGTTGTTATCTTAAGCGAACTCATTATAATACAATAAGATTGTGCGTTTCCACAAATATCTTTTCATTGTTTAATTTCAAAAGACGATCTAGGTATGACAGATGACAACATAAGAAAGACGTCTAAAGTAATAAAGATAAGGTCTCACGAAACTTTGCAATCAATTTTTTTTTATATTTAATTAGATACCTAATACGCAACACGAATAATTATTTATTTTCAGATATTATGCTCACCTAACTTTTGATTAATAAAATTATCATAATTACATTAGCATTGGCTTATTGTAACAATGGCTGGTAGATTCGTAGCAAATGAAACAAAATTCTTATTTTTTTATATAAATATAGATTACATATAGGAAACGAATTAAAAATTTCGATCACGACATTAAAATAGAACATTCAACCCAAGTTGCAACTTATAGATTTAAGTTTGAAAAAGTAAAAATATATTTTTACTAATATCTACAATTATTATAATATAGAATATTCTAGCAGTACCCGCAGCTTCGCCCGCGTCCAAGCTTCCGATCGCTAACAAAATTCACAGGATCATCAGCTGGGCTAATCTGAAGATACCTGAAAATTTCATCAAAATCGCTCCAGCTGTTTTGTAGTGTTTAATACATACACACATCGATATTTATTTTATTTAATCAAAAATTTAAATTTATTTATTGCTCGGAAAATGGAGTCTTTTATAAAAAAATTGTGACACACTTACTGCAGCGCCACCTACTGGGTCCAATTGTGTTTTCAAACCATCCGGGAGCCCATTGAAATATACACACAAAATTTCATCCATATCGGTCGAGTCCTTTAGGAGGAGTAGGTTAACAAACACACGTACAGAAGAATTATATATATTAAGATACTCAGTATCAATAATAATATCCATACAAAATTATATGTCATAAATCTATTTATTAATATTCAAGGTCAAATCTCTACGAAAGACGCAAAGACCTTAAGACCTTTATATATAATAAACAAACATAAAAATTAATTCAAAATATCTAATAATAAACATTTATTCTAATTCAATATAATAAAATTTTGCGCCTAATAAAAAATATAAGCAATAATTGCTTTACGTGAGAATAATTGAGTAAGATATTTCATATAAAACGATAAAATAAAATTCTTCATATAAGCTGTATGAAGCGAGCGATGAAACAAAAATACTTCTGTAGAATAGAAATAAGGTTGGGTAAATATAAAAGTAAGTTAACGACCCAAAATAAAGATAATATTTTATACCACAAACTATTTCGAAAGCAATGAAACAGAATACAAAGAGGCGCGCTATTCTCTACATGACTAGTTCGAATATATAAGCCTTTTGATAATAAACATATTTTTTCTAGTTTCATTCAATCTAACATATTATACTTCACCAATCTATCCCACTGAATAAATACTGAACAATTTTGTGTATTATTTGTATAGATACCTACATACTTACTATTTTTATTTTTCTTTTTTGCAATACTTTATACTAGTGTGTACTAAGTAACAGATCGTAAATTGAATCCCACATTATTTAAAGTGTTCTATTGGTTACAGGACTGTACTAGTATGAATTAAAAAAAATCAAGAGAGATCTATGTATCGTCTATGTAACAAAACCTAGTACATAAATATACTTTAACAACAGTAAAATGGTGATCACTAGATGAAATTCAAAGAAATGTATGCCCCTTATACTAATAAAGACCTTTATGAAAGGTCGAAAAGTTTTGTCTTGTAGAAAACACCACAGCGAGCAACCCTTCGCGTGTACACAATCATGACCATTCTTCGTAAACATGAGTTCATTACACTAAATTATAGTTGTTACCCCGCAATTTGCTCCTGCATGTTTTTCTGATGAGAAATTAATGTACTTATTCAGTTTCTGCGAATTTATATTAAGATGCCTATCTCAGATACTACGCTGATAAAATTTTACAACATTACTTTTTTAATCAGCGCTACTGAGTTCTCACAAAAAAGTTTTCATTATGCAGTTCAATTGTATCGGAGGCCTTTTGCATATTACATTGCTTAATGCTATTATGTTATATAGTTTAAAAAAATTAAACAACATACTTTTGAACCACTTTGTAAAGCGAAAATATAAAAAAGTACTAAAGGCGGGACTTAACACCAAAACCAACGTTCTCTACCTTTAGTCAACCTTAAGGTCTACAGTAAGTCCACAGAGGTAGAAATAGAAAAAGCATATTTGTACAGTGTACAAGACGCGTCAAAAAAGCCAGCCTTAAAGGTTTTACTACATTGAAGAGTTCCACTATCCAACTCTTGAGTCTATCATCAGATTGGCCCGATGGTATCAAACCATTGTATTAACAACCGGATCTCACATACTTACAAAGTTTCGAATCGATGTGAACATAAGAGATACCTAGATTAAAATTTACTTCCAAGATTTGCCTACATAGTTACAAGTGAATCTAATATTAATGTACGAATAAAAAAGAACGATGCGAACGCTTTAGAGCAATCATGGTCGCAAGAGTGAATAAAATTCATTACGTCTCATAAGTTACAGCTATACAGATAATGTCTACCCAAAATTATACAATAATTTAGAAAAAAAGGGAAATGTAGTACCTTACATTTTTAATTAGTATCTTATGTAACCATGATTATTGTATAGCATATGAAATGTCGGGAACAAAATATCTAAATAAACCCGCTAAACATCTGGAAAAATTATAGGTTTATTTAAAATGTCAAATATTTGCGTAAATCTAAAAAAGTATTTTATATTATCTATACATATAATAAAACTGAGGCCACATGTCTGTACATAGAAAAAAATGCTTAACACCTAGTCAGGGGGATGTAAGAGAAATAGATTTTTTTCAATTTATTTGTTTCTCTGTCTGTTTGTCTGTTTGTACGGGCTGATCTCCAAAACTGTTGGACCGACTTAAATGAAATTTTGCATGGTGCTACCTTATATCCCCGGTTAACATTATAGATACATTTCATCCTGGAAAATTAAAGAGTTCCCGTGGGATAGTTAAAAAACTACAGTAAGTTATACAGCTTAGTACACAACAACTTATGCACTTAATTTAGTAAAATTTAGCATACTGATACCTTATATTGCCGGTCAAACAACAGGTTATTTTTTTATCCCGGAAAAATTAACGGTTCCCATGGGAAAAAATCTGTTTGTGCTTTTCTAGAGGCGAACCCGAGCGAAGCGAAGATGAGCCGCTAGTATTATATAATTAATTGTTATTCATGAGTCCATTTATATTTTATTTATATTACTCTATTACATACCCATGTATATCATAAATATTTTGGTAAGATCACAATATAAGCATTGCAGCGAGCGAAGCCCAGTTTATACTAATAAAACATTACTTTACAAAGTTTTAAAAAAACTATTACAGCGAAATACTGTCGATAATTTAAATCAAAAGAGAGGTCGAAAGATTTCCTTGACCGATCCGTCGAGTGAAAATGACATTTCGGACATATCTTTCCCACGGAGGACTCGATCGGGAGGCAATTACGTTGGCGTTCCGTTTTTGTCAGCAGTGAGTGCAAGATAAACTTTGTGTCATCGCTCTTTATATAGAACAAGAGTTTTATAATTAAATTGCACTCAAATGCAATCAAGTCCATAATTAATAAAGCTGAATCATCGAATTAAAAAATTAAATATATTTCATTAAGATCTTTATTTTTTTGTACATTTTATAACATGTTAAATAGCTTATTTAAATTTTATTTTTTGTGAAATTTTATTTGCCTTCTTTATTAATTACGGTGCAATCTATACATATAATAAAACTGCAGAGGTCGAATGTCTGTACCTACATAGAAAAAAATGCTAAAAACTGAGTCAGGGGGATGTAAGAAGAGAAATAGAACAAATCCCAATTTTTTCCAATTTTTTTTTCTCTATTTGTCTGTTTGTACGGCCTAATCTCCGAAACTGTTGAACCGATTTAAATTGAATTTTGCATGATGGTATCTTATATCCCCGGTCAACATTTTAGATACTTTTAGTCCCGGAAAATTAAAGAGTTCCCGTGGGATAGTTAAAAAACTATAGTAACTTGTACAGCTTAGTACACAAAAACTACTGATTGGATTTTAATGAAACTTTATAATAATGTAGTTCAAACATCAGAATAACAAAATATAACCTACTTTTTATCCAGGGAAAAATGTACGGTCCTCGTGGGATAGATTTGTTTTTGTTTATCTAATGAATGAATATATATAGCTAGTAGAATATAATTTAACTTGCCAATCATTGGTGTCGAGTGTAATTCTACTTTCGCCATGTCCCACGACGTTATATGACAAGGAAGATGCATCAAGTACTGTTAAAGAATTAAGTCTTTGTAACGGAGCGGCAGTTTTTGTGAGAAGTCTTGCATCTTGGGAGCTAATGCTATCAAGTTTTTGCAAACTCATATCAAAGTGAGATAGATAGGATATAAAGAGGTTTTCGTTAATAGAAAATTTCCTTTACTTGTACTAAATACATTATCTACAATGACTTATTCAGGAAAAAACAATCACTTATTTAGAAAATACCGGTACAACTTAAACATGACTTTTTCCAGTATATAATTGAAAGAATTTATTTACATTGATTTGTAATTCAAATGCTATAAAAATGTTATTTTCTATTAGATTATATAATAATAATAAAACAAGTAATACTTTAGAAAATCTAGAGATAGTAATAGTAACTAAGCAAAATTCGAGTTCACAAATCCTTCGTTGTGCATGCAGCAACTTTGCCCCGCGTACTCTCTAAACTTTAGAAGTACTATAGTTCAATCCTTATGAAACTTTGTGTAATTCTACGACATCGTTATACTAACTTGAAGTTTCAAAGTTACCTATCAATGCATTAGTTTCTCCTTAATTCTGTAGATTTTTTATTATTGACTAGCATTGCCCGCGGCTCCGCCCGCGTTCTGATTACCAAAACCAAATTCTTAGGTTTTTTTGTATTTTTACTCAAAAATGAGGTATTTTCCTGCGGTAAAAAGTATCCTATACGTTGACCCGGCGGATAACCAGCTATCATCATACCAAATTTATAGATAAATATAGATAGATTTTACAAAGACTTAAAATTCCTGTTCTATAACGAAATAAATTACAAATGACTTTTGTTGAGTTTTAAAGTGTGAACATTTTTGCCAGTGCATCATAAACGCTACAGTACATAGTTATTTAAACAAGTCCGTTTGTACGAAGCCGCCTTTAGCTCGCAATGGTCATTGTTATTCAACCTCTTTTTCGCTTTTACTCAAAGAAAATAGTGAACCGCCTTCACAGCCTCAAAAGAATATTCGCAACTGTACTTTCATAATTTACATATCCTCATTTGTATACATTATGTGATCACGTTTTTTGCAACTTTGTATGGCTAATTCCTACAAGAAACTGATAATGTAAGAAATTGATACCTTCAATCATCGTCAATCGTGTTCTTACGACTGGTTGCTCACATTGCTCATGTATTCATAAAAGTTCAGCAATCATTTTAAAATGGCACCTTTAAGTCTATAATTATTCATCAAATATGCTTACTTATTTACATTTATGGCAGATGACAAAAGGAAAATTATCCTATATTACTATTCGACCTATAAACTATCTCGTTGTACTTAATTAGGCATATTTTTTATTACATAGTTGCTTCGTAATTGAAGGTCAAATTAAAAAACACTTTCGAATTACAAGACACAATGGTATGATAAGGATTTTACTTTTTTACTATAATTACCTCCATGATGTGGATGTACGCTTAAAAGCAGGCAAGGCTCGTCGCCCGGGTCCCTGCAACAGTCGAGCACGTCCCGACTGGTCGTGTGAGGCGTTACGGGCACCGGCGTAGGCGACCACCCCGCGCCGTTCTCGCACCACACTCGCACTATCATCTGTAAAAAGGAAAGAAAATTTATAAAATTTTATAACAAATACATAACAGAAATTTATATAGCAAAAGCGTATTTTTGAAATTATACTTCTTTTAGCACGTTTAGAAAAAAATATAAGAGTAACATTTTTACGATGCGCGCGCATACCGACAGCTAAAAAGCGACATGATGAAGTTAGATGAAAGCGACATGATGAAGCTAGCTGTATTCCTTTTATAAACAGAGAGTTATGACATATGTACTTGATGAAATCTTTAGCTATTTTTGTTCTGTTACGGCAAAGAAGTATAACTTCTTACGTGTGTACATAATCAAAAGACACAGACACGTTTTTTTATTTAGAATTCATTGATTTTAATTATGAATGAAAAATTTACTAAGCTTACTCATGTAGTTATCTAGTTCATGGATTTTAGTAAGTACTATATTGAATATCAAGTAATTTTACTAAGCTTGCTAGTTTAATATAGCTTTAATTTGTAATATTTGCTTATTAGATTAATTAACCGATTTGTAAGATTTACTATATTACTATTATGATTCTATCAAGTTAATATCGACCTCAAAAAAACATTTTTATATGAAAAAATGTAAAATGAAAATCCAGAACAGTTCGTTTGAATAATTACTTGTTAGGTAGAAATAAAAGATATTTAATATGTATATTTGTGGTAAATTACAAACATTTATATAAATATCATAATCAGTATATGATGTCTATATCGAAAATGATGTAGGGTACATCCGTTCAAGAAATTCATCATACTCATAAAATATGACAGGGTAAGAAATCCCCATATCCACGCAGAGTGACGCTGAGAAGAAATACAGATACTTAGTTCAATCAATTTCAATTAAGAATCAAATATTAAAGGCTTTAGCTTTCCGGATCAGTTAATTAAGATAACGTTCATTAGCTGGTTAAAGATCATATGATTAAAGAGTTTAATATTTATGTTTATTCAAGTGAATGAATATTACCTACATTCAGTATTATCCCAACTAATGATTTTTTAAAGTAAAAACAAAAAAGGTAGAAGTATTTTTAAAATATACGCATATCATTAAATAAAAATTCATATTATAACCCACCCTCGCTTCGCTCGGTTTTGTCCCTAGATATGTTTTAACGCTTAGTATGGAATATATAGACTATAGGTATATTATAGTACATATATATACATAGGTATTATTCAGTTTCATAACTCTTACTTGAGAAATAATTGATTCCGCATACAAACTTTCATCCCCCCGTTTCATCCCCTAGGAATCCCTTAAGGGTTGATTTCCGGGAAAAAAACTATTTATGTCCTTCCCAGGATCTCAAACTATCTACTTCCTACAAACAACCTCACGAACTAGTGAACTTTACCTCTTATTTATTTTATCAACCGACTTCAAAAAGGAGGAGGTTCTCAATTCGACTGTATGTTTTTTTTTTTTTTTATGTTTGTTACCTCAGAACTCCGTCATTTATTAACCGATTTGGACAATTTTTGTTTTGTTTGAAAGGGTATACTTCCAGATTGGTCCCATTTAAATTTCAAAAAAAAATACCACCCCTAAGGGTGGAAAAACCACTAATGATGAATTTAACCTACTTCTAATTGTCATATTGACTTGAAACTTTGCAAGTATTTCTATTTCCATTGATAGTACAGTGGTTCGGTGTTATTGACCTGATCTGATGGCAAGACCAGAAGGTGGATAGGTGCAACTCTTCAACGGCTAATAGTAGATACTTTGAGTTTGGGCTTATTTTGTTTGATTTGACAAGCCTAACACGTTAGAATTCTTACTTTGCTACTACTGTCTACACTAAAAAGGGGAAAATAAAAACTTTTTAACAAAAAAATAAAAACCGACTTCAAACAAAAGCACTAAAAAGTAAAACGTTGGAAGGCGTTTTGAACTAGTTTTCATTTACTATACATACCTAATCAAATATTTTCTACAGGCGGCGCTGTGCTTTGGCTAAGTAATTAAAGCCTACCTATTAAATACATCATGTGTAATCAAATATTTTCGAAATCGGTATAAGCCCATACAAAGCAAAGCACACCGACTTCGAAAATATTTGATTAGGTATGTATAGTAAATGAAAACTACCAATCAGTTATTTTTTACTTTTTAGTGCTTTTGTTTGAAGTCGGTTTTTATTTTTTTGTTAAAAAGTTTTTTTTATTTATTTATTTAATACTTTATTACACCAAAAATAAAAATACAATATAAATGAATATGTAACTTTACAAATATTAGTGTAAAGGCGGCCTTATCACTTAAGTGATCTATACCTCTTTATCAACCGACTTCAAAAAGGAGGAGGTTCTCAATTCGACTGTATGTTCTTTTTTTTTATGTTTGTTACCTCAGAACTCCGTCATTTATTAACTGATTTGGTCAATTTTTGTTTTGTTTGAAAGTGTATACTTCCAGATTGGTCCCATTTAAATTTCAAAAAAAAAATATCACCCTAAGGGTGGAAAAACAACTAATGATGAATTTAACCTACTTCTAATTGTCATATTGACTTGAAACTTTGCAAGTATTTCTATTTCCGTTGATAGTACAGTGGTTCGGTGTTGTTGACCTGATCTGATGGCAAGGCCAGAAGGTGGATAGGTGGAACTCTTCAACGGCTAATAGTAGATACTTTGCGTTTGGGCTTATTTTGTTTGATTTGACAAGCCTAACACGTTAGAATCCTTACTTTGCTACTACTGTCTACACTAAAAAGGGAAAAATAAAAACTTTTTAACAAAAAAATAAAAACCGACTTCAAACAAGAGCACTAAAAAGTAAAAAATAACTGATTGGTAGTTTTCATTTACTATACATACCTAATCAAATATTTTCGAAGTCGGTGTGCTTTGGCTAAGTAATTAAAGCCTACCTATTAAATACATACCTAATCAAATATTTTCGAAATCGGTGCCAGCCCATACAAAGCAATGCACACCGACTTCGAAAATATTTGATTAGGTATGTATAGTAAATGAAAACTACCAATCAGTTATTTTTTACTTTTTAGTGGTCTTGTTTGAAGTCGGTTTTTATTTTTTTGTTAAAAAGTTTTTACATAATTTAATATCAGTGTAAATAATAATTGATTAAAAATTCATTCCTTTATTAATAGTCTTGGTAATTCTAAATTCAGTAACTTGTTACACTGTATCATGTATATATTTATAATTATGCTTTACGAACTAGTGTATATATTGTGTTATTATGTAAGGTAAAAACAGACGAAATGTAACTAACTGCACTTTATATTTAATTTCTAGCATATCGCTTAAGACAAACTTTTTTAGCCCTCGGACCGAGCATCGTATACTCACTTTTATAGTTTATAGTTTATACTTTATACGACTATACCTACAACTAGTATGCTAGTTTAATATCAAAGACCTATTCAAAATGGTATTTCATATTTCCTTTCATATTTTTCATCCTTTTTAATTCTTTTCAAGAAAAAAGTTTTAATTTCTTTTTATGTACCTTAATGGATCGACCATTGTTTAAAAACTCAATAAAAACGAAGTGAATATTTAATTATAATCCTTGAAAAGTTAGATTGCGGATACTTGCAAAATTATTTCTATTAAAGTTATAAGTGGATAGATAGATAATAGATACATCATATATTATAGTCTACCCGATTTTAGTATTCAGACCGATTGCTACTTATGTAGCACTTATGTATACTATACTAATACTATAAAGAGGTAAAGTTTGTGAGTTTGTTAGTTTGTCATGTTGTAGAGGGCAATCTCTGGATCTACACCACCGATTTAGAAGAAATTTGGTAAGAAGATAGTTTGAAACCCTGGGAAGGACATAGGAGACTTTTTATCCCGGAAATCATCCCTTAATGGGTTGAAAATGGGGATGAAAGTTTGTATGGGGAATCAAACTAAGGACGAACCCGAGCAAAGCGAGGTTGCGTGGCTAGTGTAGCATTATTCAAAACAAAAAATTATTATAAAATATTGACCTTTTCACATTAATTATTCTTTAATTGTTTAAATTGTTCATTAATATAGATTTTATTAAAATATAAACAAAAGAACATACTAAGCTAACCTTAGTAAAAATCAATAGATAAACTAGCACTTTCGACTCTCTGTCTATCGAGTGTCAGCGCTAACGAACGTTTACTGCTACGGCAACTTAACTAAAATTAATAATATTCAATATGACCCTTATCGAGTAAGACATAAAGAATAATATTGTTTAAAAATAAATATCCCTAGGTGGGTTGATTCCTCACATAATTAATTGTACGCTGTAGAGAGTAAAGGTAATGAAACGTGTAATCAAATTAGACTCCTGTAGACAATTATACTTTCAAGATCTCCTTTACTTATTTCCACCTAGAAATATAAGCTATTAGGTTTAAAAGCCCATTATACTCACTTAGTATTTTACTATAACTTATTATTATTTTTGATAACTTGGTTATTTATTAAATAGTAATAAATAGTCTGTTTCGATAATAGTATGATAAGTAACGAAATAGAAATAGCTAAAAGAACTATAATATGTTATCTTTTTGATTGTACACTATTTATAAGAATAAAGATTTTCTGAATGTTAAATTTGGTAATCTCAAGAACTGTTCTTAGAAGTCCTAACTGATCTTAGGATGAAGCGATCTTACTGAAACTTTCATCCAAAGAAAAGGATTTGGCCAAGAAAATACTGTACTAAAACAAAAAATATAAACATACATAAACGCTTAGGATATTTTTTACTGCGGGAAAATATCTCTGAGAAATCTATACTAAACGTTAAAACGTAAGTATTTAATAGGTTTATAACCTACTGTAAGGAAATCAACTAATCCGTTAACTATTTTCTCTTGATATGAATTAGTATATTTTTTATTTAATAAATATATGAATATCTTATTTATGTCCGTTGTTTATAAAGGTTAGACAGTAACAGGACAAATAATATTCCCATTTTTAACCCTTCAAGTATAAATTTTCATGAATTCT